TTTTCTTTATAAACAATAGTGGTATAGACAGTGCGCATTGAAATAAAAAAAAAAGACTTACAAAACACATTTACTCTACTGTTATAAAATTTGTCACTTTTATCTTCTAGGTCGAGATGAGGGTTACAAATTCAGCTAGTTCGCATATAATGCCTTTGCATTTTACACTATTAAATGTTTTTTTTTATACTATGATGAATGGTAGTAAATATAATATTTCTTATTAATAGTCATCTTGCCATGAGACAATTCCATTCGTAAAAAAAATGGGAAATGAAGCATGGGACAGTGAATCGACTGGGGTACACTTGATCTATACAAAAAAAAACCAGTAAAGGACAATAATTTCCATGTTAATACTCATTTATTTGTATGCCTCGAGAGCCTTTTATTACCTAAATCTTACCAGTCTTGTAAAAAGTTATGAATTGTCACTTATGAAGTTATGAACAAACAAAAATATATTCACTGTGTACTCCGAGAACAAACATAAATTTTCCCTTAACATAAAATTAAAATTCACGTTGATCATTTTTTTATCAATAACTTGTTTATTTTGAAATTGGTAAAATTAACGTAAATTAAATTTAGAAAAATCAATATCAAAGTCGTACATATATTGTTTTCTCTTTGTATTGCCAGAACATTTAGGTTTTGGTAAAATCGTCTTAATGTCCGGTAGTGCAATCGTGGCAATATCCGGAACGTTTGGCATATGAAAATTATTAGGTATTTTATCTGATCTTCTTAGAAAACACACCTCAGTGTCATTTTCCTGATTTCCAATGACAAAATATTTAATAAATTCGTTTTTCTTTTACTTGAAATTCAACAATAATAAAAACGCTTTCATTTGGCAAACTTCTAGGTGCAGGAAAGTTGTTGGGATCCAACGACTGATAATCATCTTCTTCATCTTCAAATATCGGTTCCTCTTCAGAATAAACACTTAGTTGATCTTTACTTTCGCTGGAACTCTCTTGTAAAAAAAATATTTTCTTTTTTTTTACAATTGCCTTTATTTGTTTGCGTTTCTTTTCTTCTTCTCTAATTTCTATTTCATTTTTATTAGGTGTGTCAGTTGCAATCATTGATTTACCTTTACATCTTAGTGATCTTCCCCCTTACGTGGTCCTGCTTTATGTAGCCCTCGAAATGGACTTAGGAATTTCTTTTTAACATTTGCAGAAGAAGCAGACGGCGAAAATGCCATTGTCGATGAAAAACAAGCCGCAATCTTAAAATTATTCAAGCAGGAAGTACTAACAGTAGTTTTAGGTTGTTTATCGTGCACTTTGGCCTTCGGGATTGGCAATAAAGCCTTGACTAATGTAACATCAGGTTGTCGTTGAATATTTTTGTATGGAGTTCTAGTGCACAAGGTGATGGAGTTTTCGTTCTGTCACTGTAAATAAATTGAGCGCCAAGTTCTTTAAGTTGTAAATCTAGATTTGAATCAAGGCTCCCTGCCTGTCAACTCTAATATTGACGGCGATGGGGTTCTTAATTTATCATCTTGAACAGGTCTATTACTCTTATTTTGATCATTTTGATGATGGAGCATGCGCAATCATATGTTAGTAGACAGTGAAGTAAATCAGTAATAAAATGTGTTCATCTACTAGAAAAAAATATGAATTTTTTCTACTTGGGGTTCGAGAAGTTGAGCCATTGATGAGGCTTGACCAACTCTCTACTCTTAGGCAAGTTTTAGACCATTATTACCACATATTAAATAAATCCAAAAATGTGAAAGATTCCGTGCATGAACTTATTCAATAACTTACAGAAGTCTGAAGTGAATCTAGTATTCCGACCAGACAACAACAGATCTCAATCGAACAGAACCTAGAAACGGTCAAAGAACTTTATCTCACACGGAAACAACGATCTGAAGAATTGAGAGAAATGGCTGTTGAAAATAATGCTTCATTTTCATTGGTGTGCGCACAAAAAAAACTAGAACCGAATACAACTCCAATATAAAAGAAAAATTTTGATATTGATTCTCCATTAGTTATTCATTGGGACGGCAAACTAATGCCCGATATAACTGGTAATAAGAAATTAGAGCGCCTTCCGATTCTAGTCTCTGGTAATGGTTGTGAAAAACTATTAGGAGTACCTAAACTTTCTGCAGGAACGGGGTAACAAATATCTGATCTGATGCGGTTTTTGACACAATACAACATGCTAAGGCCCAGAATCAACGCAGTCGAGGAAGACCAGGGGAGTTTGACTTTATTTCTCGTCAGTTTCTTTGGCGGGACGGCATCAGAATCTGATGGGTAGACTGTAACACGACAAAACACAGCTACAAACTAGCGTTAGGCCAACACAGTTCCATATTTCAATGTGAATGTGTGGCAATAACTTACGCTGCCACAACGGTCATGTCAAGGGGTATCAAGGACTACAACATCCGAATAATGTCCGACAGCATGGCCGTCTTAAAGGCACCAGAGGGCAACACAATGACTTCTGGTATTGTCTTCGAATGTCATCAAGCACTGGAACAGCTCGCTACATTCAATGGGGTACTCCTCCAATGGATTAAAGGGCACAGTAACTCACACGGGACCGATGCCGCAGCTGAGTCGCTGTTCCTGTTATCCAAGCTGCTCGGCGGGTTCCATTCTCATTGCTGCCTGAGCTTCGTGAGGAACTGGCTAGGATGGAGAAATTAGAAGTTATAGTGAAAGTGGACAAACCGACAAAATGGGTAAATAATTTAGTGCTGGTACGGAAACCAAATAATAAATTACGGATATGCTTAGACCCTCGAGCTTTAAATAAATATGTAATACAACCTAAATTTCAATTACCAACACTAGACGAAATAAAAAGTAGAATGCAAAATGCAAAATATTTTGCTCTACTCGATGCATCAAATGGATTTTGGATGCTAAATTTGGATGAACAAAGTTCAGATCTATGCACATTCATAACTCCTTTTGGGAGGTACAAGTTTAAAAGGTTACCGTTTGGAATCAGCTCTGCTCCTGAAGAATTCAGTAGGATAATCACTCAAATGTCTGAAAATGTAGAAGGAGTTATTCCATACATTGATGATCTGTGTATTTGGGCTGAGTCAATTGATGAATTAAATGAAAGAATAAACAAAGTTTTAAATATTGCATCTAAAAATGGAATTAAATTCAATGAGAGGAAATGTAAATTATTTGTGTCCGAACTTCTTTTTGTGGGTCATTTGTTCACTGCTAATGGGGTTTCTCCAGATCCAAGCAAGGTTCGGGCAGTAATGGATATGGAACAGCCAAAATGTAGAAAGGACCTAGAAAGGTTTTTGGGTATGTGCAATTATCTGTCTCGATTCATTCCTAATTATTCCATTAATTGAGCCATTGAGAATCCTTATGAAAAAAGATGTTGTGTTTGCTTGGGACAGCAACCAGGAACAATCATTTAGCATGTTAAAACAAGCTTTATGTAATAGCCCCTGTTTAGCATATTTTAATACCAATCAGGACATTGTTTTGTCAGTAGATAGCTCTTCCACTGCAATGGGGGCAGTTGTGATGCAAAGTGGGAGACCAATTGCATTTGGGTCTCGGGCTATTACTAATACAGAACAAAATTATTGTCAGTTAGAGAAAGAAATGCTTGCCATTGTATTTGGTTGTTATAAAATGCATCAATACACCTATGGGCGTAAAGTACAAGTGGAGTCTGATCATAAGCCGTTAGAAACTTTATTTAAAAAACCATTATATAAAGTACCAGCACGTTAACAAAGAATGATGCTAGCAGTACAGGGTTATAATTTAGATGTGAAATACAAAGTTGTCCAAAGAATGTAGAATGTAAACTAACTGATTTAAATGAAGGGATAGTTTGTCATGTTAAATTACATAGAGATAGTTTGCCTATATCAAAAGCACAATTAATAAAAATTCAAAGTGCCACACAATCAGATCCTACATTGCAAACTGTTATGTATTTTGTGAAAAATGGATGGCCAAAGAACTTTAAAGATCTTGATCATAATGTCAAACAATTTTGGACATTTCGAGATGAATTAGGATTAATTGATGGAATAATTCTTAAAAGTAATTTAATTGTTATACCAGAATCTTTAAGAAAAGATATGTTGCATAATATTCATCAAGGACATGCAGGCTTGAGTACTTGTAAAATAAGAGCTAGATCTTGCGTTTTTTGGCCAGAGATAAATAAAGATTTAGAAGTATATGTACGACAGTGTACTCCCTGTGCTAAATACAGACCTAATATCCAAAAAGAACCGCTTATTCATCATACTGTAGAGAACATACCTTGGCACAAAATTGGAATTGACATATGTACTTTAGACAAAACAGACTTTCTTATATTAGTAGACTACTACTCAAAATTCCTTGAAGTGTGTAAATTAGATAATTTGTCAAGTGAATGTGTAATTACTAATTGTAAATCTATTTTTGCAAGACATGGAATACCGGCTTATGTAGTAACAGACCCTGGTACTCAATTCACCTCAGAACAATTTAAGAAATTTGCTAATGTTTATAATTTCATTCATGTGAAAACAAGTCCAAAGCATTCACAATCTAATGGACAGTCAGAAAGTGGAGTAAAAATTTTAAAAAATATAATGAAAAAATGTACAGAAGATGGGTCTGACCTATACCTTGGGCTTCTGAACTATCGAAACACTCCTAAGTTATATATGCCATCTCCTGCACAGTTGTTGTACTCAAGAAACCTAAATTCACTATTGCCTTTCTCAAAAAATAAATTAAAACCCAAAATAATGTTCTATGGAGTAAAGTATGATAATCATATTAAGAATGTCAAAAACTACTATGATAAAAATGCCAAACCTCTATCAGAATTAAATATAGGGCAGAAAGTTTTTTTTAAAAAGACATTAGATTCTAATTGGATAAAGGGGACAATTTAAAAAAAAATGTGATGAGCCTCGTTCATATCTGGTGGTGGATGAGAAAGGAATAACTTATAGAAGAAACAGAAAATATTTGATGCCTTATATTGAACCTAAAAATTATACTGTAAATGAAAAGACTAATATAAATAACATTGACAGATTTGGTGACTATGGACCTGATGTGTCGTTACCTAATAAAGTTGTATCTGTGCCTGAGTCAAACGTGATGTCAGGACCTGATAATGAATATTTAAGAAATGTTTTTACTGATAATATTGTTAAGGAACAAAATGATACTGATGTATGTGTAGAGAGAAACATTGTGCATTTAGAAGACAATGTTGTATCTGGGGATTGTTCTACATTAAGTGATGAGTGTGTAGTTATTGGAAAAAATACTGTAAATCTAGAATACAGAGATGTTAATAAAGATATTCCTAGTATAACCTCTGGTTGTGCAATAGAGGTACCAACTATAATGAAAAGTAGAAAAGGTAGAGTTATAACGAAACCTCGTAGATTTAAGGATTATGTTGATTTTCATTCTGAGTCTGATTAATGTGTCTTTTGTAATTAGAAAAGGGGAGATGTTTGGGGTACATCCCTAGTTATTAGTTACATCACTAGTTGTTAGAATATAAAACAGATTCTTTAGAAAATGGTGGACGTGTTTTATTTAACAAATAACATAAAATGACCGATAGCACTGACCGGGCATACAACACTGTCATTCATGCCATTTTCTAGATACGGCAAATGCGCCATCTTCACTACTGTTTCCGTTTCCTATCTCTATATCTAAAAGTTTACTTTTAATGGCGTCTGTTGTCACTTGAATGCCTGAATGCTCTAGCGCCATGATCATGGGAGAGAACTTCTCTGGTAATCCAGCTAGCAATAACGAACCAATCCATTCGTCCTTAATTGCGAATCCTGTTCCAAAAAGTTTCTGACCTGCCTCAATTATTTGGGTGACATACGAGGTCATGGAACTGCAATTATAGAGATGGATAGAAATTAAATTTCTCAGGATACTTATTCTTATGGTGAAACCGGAATCATCAAAAAGAGACTTCAAATTTTCCCCCATTTCTTTAGTAGTCTTGACTGTCTTGATGTGCACGTACAACGACGCATTGTTAAAATCAGTTTCGCCTTTATCTTGGCGTCATCCGCGGCTGATGCAACAATTGCCGCACCACCGGCGTCAAACTCTGGTTTGATGCACTTCATCATTCCTTCAAGTATGATAAAATTTTCAGCTGCAGCCCACTCGTCGTAATTGTCCCTTCCTCGTAACTTAGGCACACTCACGATATAATTAGTCGCCATTACTCTAATATGCAATAGCAACCGGCTAACTGTTCAGAAACGGATTCAAAGCCTAATACGCGGAAACTAGCGTTTGTGACTCCTGAGTTGCAGACGTTCATGGGCGGCGATGGTCACTTTCCATCAGGTGACCCGTCTGCTCGTCTGCCCCCTCTAACATTAAAAAAAAACTATCTGCGAAAAACACTAACGTGTTGAGCTGCAACTTTTTAGCACAAGTTACTTCCCGAGAAACTAGTCTTAAAGCCAAAATTCTGGGCCCATCACCTATTAATAAAACGACCATGTGCATTAGAGATGCGCCTTTTTTGTTAAATTTTGTCATTGATGCGCATCGTTAATTAGTGAACCGCATCCGATGCCGGCAACGTTTTTTATGGCATCGATTTCCGGCTAAAGTGTCTGCGTAAAAATATCAGATAGGTACTCGGTAACGGTGCCTTATTGAAATCATTTGATAGCTATTTTATAACTTTGTAAATTATTTAGATACGATATTAAACATTACGACTTCTACTGGTAATAAGAATGGAGGTTATATAATAAACATAAGGTAATTAATATTGGTCTTTACTTTTAACAAAATTAGAGTTGACATTAAGAAAAACCAATTTTTATTTTTTGTAACTTGAAAGACGAGTTCTTCGTTCATTCAAAATATACCCGGCTTTGGAGAATATCCGTTCGCATGGCACAGAAGTTATCACAATATTACACCTCGAACGGTATATTTCTGCCAACTTCGGGTATATTTTGGAATGACGGAGCCACCATTCAGTGGGATCGTTCCACTCCCCGTCAACGTTTTGCCGGGGCAAAATTTCGTCTTCCAAGTACAACCGCATCTCCCTGATTGCTTTGGATAAACCCTCTAGTCTTGCTTAACTGACTGTCTACTTCATTCCACACGCTTGATCCAGAAACAGTTGCACTAGGAGCTACTTGTATTGTAGTTGGGACCTGTCGTGACAAAATGTCTGCCATTATCTCGTGGCAATATTCCTTTATAGGATTTTTGTTGGTATCAGATTTAAACATCTCCAACTTAAAGCGAGGGTCCAACAACGTGCACAAAGCCAGAGTCTTGCTTTGTTCAATATTCTGGAACCGTGAGTCAAGACCACTTTTCAATTTTATTAAAACATTTTGTACTATTTCAGCGTCTATGTAGTGTCTGTTTTGTAGCATCTCTTGGCAAATATCGCGAAGGCTATTACATAAAACTATTGCTAACCCCCCAGTCACATAGTTCTGACCACTCAAACTAGAAGTGATTTCTTCAAATGGTGCCAAAACACTTACCAACAACTCAAGGTTTGTCCACTCTTCTTGCGACACGATTGGCCACTCTTTATTTATCACTGCTGTAGTAGCTTTGACGGCCTCTCTGAGCTCGATAAATCTTTTTATCATGAGGTATGTCGAGTTCCACCATGTGACCACTTCCATGACCAGTTTTTTTGGCTGTTCAATTCTCAAATGGTTGCTTTGGTACTTCATGAATTTCTCGTTGGCTTGGGTGCTACGCTTAAAATGTGCGACAATTTTTTTAACTTTTTCTATCATGACCTGTATTGGTATAAGGGCTTCTTTTACGATTAAATTAAGGGAGTGTGCAAAACAGCCATAATGCTTCCATCTTAATTGGTTTGTAATTGCATTACAAATATTGTGTGCATTATCAGACACTGCGAAGTTTACTTTGTCTAATAGGTTCCATTTCAGTACAATACCTTTAATTTGCTGTGCAAGGAGTTCACTTGTGTGACTTCCGGGACATCCCTTACAATCTAATAAGATGGACTTAAATTTAAACTTGGACGAAATGTAGTGGGCAGTGACTGCAACAAAACTGTCATTATTATTAGAGGTCCAACAGTCAGTTGTAATGCATGCAGTTACCGTTTCAGTGTTTAATATTTCTCGACATTCATTCCAAGTTTTTTCAAATAATGCCGGTATTAAAGAGTTTGAAATCGTCTTTCTGGATGACGGTGTGTACCCTGGAATCCATGATAATAACTTTTAAAATCATTCACCATACTAAACGGCTGCATGTCGGCAATACATAGACCGAGTAAATCTCTATCAATTTTTTTTTTCATCTCCCTTGTTATGGGTTTAGGTATATAAGAATTTATTGTCCTTTGTTTTGGTTTATTTTAAGTAGATTCAATATATCCATATTTTTTAGACCATAAAATGATGAATTCTGTGTAGTCAATTTGACGTCTGATAGAATAGTAACTTTTGTATTTTTGTTTGAATTTTGTGTTTTTTAATTTGGTGATACGTCTTTTGTACATCTGATAATACTATTTTCTTTATTGCATTTTAAGTCCGATAAAAGTGTGACATTTGACGATTTGACGGAACGCTTAACTTGGTTTTCTTTTTTACTCACTGTTTTTTTAGGCGCTAATGCTTCTTTTTCTGGAACTAATTTTCCTGCAGTTACTTGCAAATTATGTCTTCCACTTAACAATGGTTTAGCTTCTCGGGAAGTTTTAACATTTTTAAGGGGGGTCTGATCAAATTTTCTAGGAGCTACAGTAGTGTCCATTGTCTTTTCAGTTATGCGGGTATGGTATATATTATTTTGAGCAGTATTTTCAGTAATGTTAGCGAATATTATATTAGGAAGGTCTGAGTCTTGACAAAGATAGTCAGATAGTCAGTCTCTAGATTAAGGTAAGTAGTATTTGGTGTCGTATCTTTGGTGAACTTTACTTTTCAGTTTGGCTTGAATTAAAAACTTCTACATCGGGACCAGAACCAAAATCTTTGAAAAAAGAATGCCTAGTTGGGCTCAAGCAAAGATACAGTCCTCTTTCACAAAAACAACTTAGCTGCCTATGGAGTATTTCATTTTTTGTTGTTGATATTATTTGATGTATTTGCATTGTGCCTGCAACTGCTTTTAAATTGTTTGGTATTAGTGTTTTAATATTTTCGATATCAGAATTGTTGTAATAATAAAATTCTACTTTACCGGTCATCTATGTATATTATCAAGTTTAGTGACAACACTAACTTGAAAGTACTTCTCTAGTAAGGCTATGGTTTTGGTTTTTACTCTCTGGAATCTCTTAAATAAAACTACTCTGTGTTAAATTTACTTTTGCCGTTTTTAATTAATCTCAACAGGTTATGGGTCCAGACCACCTGATTTAGGTTTAAATACAACGAAAATACAACTACAATAAATAAAATACAAAGTAAATTCAGTAAAAAAAAACCATGCCCAGAGAGGACCTGCGTCACACGGAACGACAGGGAGCCGTGCCTTCTGTCGAGCCAGAGGTCGAGCACTAGCCGGATGGCCTCGATAGTGACGAGGCCGGCGGAAGGGCGTGAAAGCCTGTCCCGCCATTCCACCACCAGGACCTCGCGCAGCTGTGACCGACGCAGCTCGATGTCTCGCTGCGCCAGTCCCTCACCGCGAGCCCGCGCGTCCTCACGCCACCGATACAGTGACGCGAGGACTTTTGCCTCCAGGTCCCAGGGCGGAGATCCGGCCAGTACGCAAGCCGCCTCGTGGGAGATCGTGCGATAACCCCTAACGACTCTGACGGCCATCACCCTCTGCGGCTTCCGCAGAACTGTGATAGCGCCGGCCGTCAGGTCAGCCGCCCAGATCGGTGCCCCATATAGGGCCATCGATCAGACGATCCTCTCGTACAGCCGCCTGCAGGCGGCTCTCGGGTCCGACTGATTGGGAAGCAGCGTTGACAGCGCCCCAGCCGCGCCCAACAACTTGGGCGCCAGCCGCCGGAAATGGGGGCCAGGATCCCACCGGCTGTCGAGCACCAATCCTAGATATTTTAGGGTGGACTCGACAGCGATTCGAGCCCCCCCAACCACCATGTGCAATCCCGGCGGCGGCGCCCGTCGGGGGCCATGAAAAGCTATGGCCTCCGACTTGTTGAGGGCCACCTCCAGGCCAAGGCGCCGTATGCGGCTCACCACTTGTGAGACCGCCGCCGTCGCTAGCAACGCTGCCTCCCTGTACGAGCTCGCCCCTCAGCACCCAGTCGTAACCGATGTTCCACAGGAGCGGGCCTAGGACTGACCCCTGCGGAACACCGCACGACATTAGGCGCTGGTGTTTGCCATCACGTCCCAGATAGGTGACACACCTCTCCGATAAATACGCCCCAACGATGCGGCGGAGGTGGGGAGGCACTTGATGGTAGCGCAGTGCCTCCAAAATACAACTCCAGGGCAAGGTGTTGAAGGCGTTGGAGATGTCCAAGGACACCGCCAACATCACCCCGCCGCGGGACACCGCTTCCTCCGCCAGGACTCTCACTCGCGAAATCGCCGTGATAGTCGAGCGCCCATGCCGAAACCCGAACTGGCACTTGCCCACCACTCCTACAACTCTTATTTTGACAAATAGCATGTCCTCCCTCTCTATCCACATGTATATGAAACTTAATAAAACTACCCCGCTTTGTGGATGTTCTAACATAATCCTAATGAAGTAGGCCACTGAGAAGCCCCAGGACAGATATCCTATCAACTATATCACTCCTCATTTCTCTGTCTCTCTCAAGCAAGGGGTCAGCATATCCTGCACCTCCGTATGAGTGAGTAGCTGGAAACATTGATGCATAACTTGCATAGCCCTTCATTATAAGATTACGCAGCATCCTTCTATCCTGAGGATTACCCTGTATTAAATGGTAAACAGGCACTAAGGGGCTAAAGCATGGTGTTCTCAGTGTCTGAGAAAGTAATGCACACTCAATGGGCCTAGTTAACGCCTTTTGAGGAGATGTGTGGCCCAACCCCATAAAGTGAACCTTCTTTTCCTCCATCTCACGACCCCTCTCCCAATGTCCCCAAATAGAGCGGAAAGAGCCCTTTACCTTCTGAAACTTGTACACCCCTATAGGGCCCCAGCCACCAGGCAGGTCAGGAACCCACTTGGAAATCAGTACACCTCTCGCATCAGGGGGAAGACAACCTATTGATCTACAGTCTGTTACAACCCACAAGTCAAGTACACCCTCCTCTTTATTATACCTTAAGGGACCCTCCATTCCTATATTAGCTAAGAACTCTTTGATGTTCATACGGGACAGAGCAGGGGTCACCCGTGACACAGCAGAGGCCTGTCTCCAGTGAGGATTGTATATTAGAGGGTTTTCCTGTCCTCCCCCTATCTTTCCAGGCAGTAAGTGGCAAATCATTGAGTACACAGCTCCATTCATGTCCCCAAGGGTAGAGAGTCTTATGGACCCATCAGGAAGCTCTCCTAGCTTCTCCTTCAACAATATAAAAACCTCATATAACTGATTCATGACTCTTCCACCCGCAACACACCACATGGCCTCCTCAAGATCTGGATCTGCATCCTCAGACCCGGTTGATCTAGGTAGGGGTGTAGGAGGGATAACTATAGGTCTCATAGGTCTATGGCAAGGACGTGCTGTCCTCCTTATACCTGCTATACTTTCCTCCTCAGACATAGCAGTAGGTGGCCTCTTTATGTGATTGAGAGAGGACTTGTGTAGTGCCTTATTCACAAGGTCACGCATCTCTGGACCCCTCATCTTTTTTATGAGATCTGGATCAACCCTTCTCCTCATGTGATGGGCCATTGTTCTAAACCACCTAATGAACAGATGTCTTGCCATCCTTCCCTATTCTGAAGGTCTATAGGGGAGGACCGTGTGAGTGCACAAAATGAGTGAGTGAGGCCACTAAGCACCAGAGTATCTATTAAATCATCAAACCCTGTCCTATTCGGGGATTTTCTTAGTTCATTTAGTATAGAGTTTGGGTCTGAACTGAATGATACATCCAAAACTACTAGATAACCTGCCAAGAACTCAAAGAAGTATTCAACATGGAGACGACATGCTTCTGATAGATTGATGAATGGTGGTGTAGATATGTCATCTACAGCTCTTTTTTCCAGAGTAGATATATGTGTAGTGTCCCGCCTATTCAATATCCATACAGCAAATTTGTATGCCATATGTGCAGCATAAGACTGTTCTAAACCCACTACAGGAGGATCATATGGGAGGTACGTTTCCTGCAATGGTTCTATATGTAAAGTGGCTGTAGGTATGGGGACACCTTGGTAAGTTGATGATGCAAGGGTGAACACCTCTGGGGGTATAGTCCATGTACAACACCCACGAGATAATACAACAGCCATCCTATTAGGTAGGCATCCATACTTTTGGTACATTATATTTAAGGAAGCTATGCTGTGTAAGAGTACAGCTTGGAAACATATGGTATAATCCTCTCCTTTCTTGGCATAGGCTGTGGCTGTGCTGGAGGATATCCTAACATGTGATGCAAAATTGCTAGTGGAATTGCTCTGGCCTCCCCTGCTCATGGTTGGGCAAGGAAGCCTATGAGTTAGGGAGCCTGAGTAAACGTGTGCTGTCCTTCTTTCTAGATCTTCTTCACTAGCATCTGTCTTCTCTTGTATGATACTATCTATCAGCCGAGTTAGACCTACATCCCCCTTAACCCATGATCTCAACTGTAGTGCTTGTGATAGTGACTGAGTGAAGCTATATGACTCCATTTCCTGAAGGGGTTGTCTCTTAGCCCGGATTCTAGTTGGTGCACCTATGTAGGACCAGGACCTCTAGTTAGGTTCCAATCCTGAGTAGTGTCACCTTCCACCATCAATGATATTGTTCTGTCATACATATCAAGGGGCACACTGTTCTTGTTGAGCAGGCATAGTTATACCTTCAAGCTGTATTCTCCACCCTGTCTCTCTCAACTTCTGAGCAAGTTGGGTTAGGCATGTATCCATATTGATCTGGGACAATATAACATCTACCCCCCTATACAATATGTGATCCACCATTGTCCTCTCCATGGCCCTTACATCTCTCAGCACCTCAGTCTCTGAGCTTCATTCTCTGCAGGCCACATTTTGTATAGATCTTGTACTTGAGAACTTGTTAACAAGAGCCTCCTGTTTCCCCACATTAGATAGGGTCATAAGCTTAGACATCAGCTTAGGATTACATGGTCTTATAGTCATGAGGTCCCCTATAAGCCTCTGCTTGTTCTCTTCCATTTGAGGAGAAAATAGAGGTGTCAATTCTTTATTCTTTATGATGGATGGGAGTCCTTCTGCTATCTTGGATTTAAGGTAATTTTCTGGTTGCCTAGGCAGGACCAAGGGAAGAGACTGCGGGTCCTTTATAAGCATTGTGGGGTCCGTTGTCTTCATCCGGGTACTGGCTATTCTAACCATGTGTTGCCTGTGTCTAGGTGATGAGAGGAATGTCCTAACCAAATGTAATGCTGTTGTAAGGGGGTCTTGAATAGACCGTGTGGCAAAGTTAGCAAAAAGTGTGATAGGCCATCCACCCAATGTTCTAGGAACTGATAATAGGCATGATATGTACTCAGGTGGGTATCTTGATAACTCAGGAAATCTTTCATGTGCTGCTATAGATGCTTCCAAAACAGTGGCCCAGAAGGATGGTATAGGAGTATGGTCCTTTTGAGCAGATGACATGCCTGTTGAATATATCCCCGCTATATCACTATTAAACGAGGGTATCGTTTGATTGGCCTCGCTAGATATCCTTGATATTCTTTTCAAAGAGGAGCTCACTTGTGCCCCTTTGAAAAAGAACTCTCTACCACACTCTAGCAAGGATGAAGATACCCATGTTTCCTCCAATTTAAGAGTTATTCCGGCTTGGGTGCATAAGTCTAGTAAAGTCTCTTGGAACCACTTGATGTAACTATGTCTTGTCATCCTCATTCCCTCTAGAGTAGCTCTGCTCGTAACCTTAAGTAAATTACCTGATTATCCCCTTGACCTGTCAATGTAGCAATGGTCCCACACTTCCAAGAGGCAACAAGAATAAGCAACAATGTGGCCAGTGTCCACCCCTTCTGTCTCAACCCCTCCATCCATGCCTCCGGACCATGGACACACCTAGGCCCATTTAGGGGATAGCCATCAGGTCCTTGTTTAGGTGGATGGAACCTGTCTTGGAATAAGAGAGTGGATTCTAGAGGAAATATTTGTGTGTATGCCATGACATCTGTAACACCTAAGAGACGATCCAGTTCCTCAAACAATGGTGTAACACCTTCAAACCTGAAACTAGTACACCAACTAGAGAAATCCATTGCCATGAACACATGCCCACCCTCGTCCTGGGAGGAGGACTCAGATATCCTCAATAAATGTTTGAATAAGTCATCTTCTGACTTGGTCATGGTTTGGTGTGGAATAAACTTGAAGACATTCTTTATGTTATTTTCTGTTGCAACCTGAAATAGGCGCATCTCTAGTGTCAATTTTCCGAAGAACCTAGCCTTAGTCTTTTTCATCTCTCTTTCCTTGGCAACTCCTACTGTCACCTTCCAGGACTTAGGGATCTTCTTCTCTGAAACAGTTTGTATGATATTTTTCACATTTACCTCTTCCCTTCCAATGTACTGCATTATTACATTGTTGCTTTCCCTGGGAGGTACAGTAGGAAAGAATCCATGGTTTGTTCTGTGCGCTTGACCATCATATTCATAAGGCCAGTGCTCAAGGCTAGGTATAATTGATTTATCGGCTAACAAATCAGCTGTATATATTTGATAGTCAAATTCCATGGTTTCGTCAAATTGTATGTCCGAGAACATAGCTGTGGACCAGGGTTCCCCAGGATCCTCACCCCAGTAACCGCCTTCACAACATTGTTTTACAAGAGGGTCAGCATTGGGTCCTAGTTTCAGGTTTGGCCACTTCCTCTTCTGTTTATAGAAATTGCGTGAGAACTCAAGAACGAAGGCTCTACGAATTTCTTCTGCTATTACTCCCAGTCCGGGCTTAAGAACAGTCCCTTTCTCGACCCATGTTGCAATACTTGCTCCCATTACAACCTCCGGATGCCCGAAACATTTGGTTAACCCTGTTAATTCAAAAGCTAAATGAACATCTATTGTGTTAGAGATCTTACGTGTGGCTATCTTTAATAAAAGAGAATGAGGATATTGTATTATTATGTCCTTGAGTGAGTTGTAAAAATGAGGGTCTCCCTCGATATCTTTAAGTATTGTAGCTATTACTAGAGGTTGCCAACACTTCAATATATCATAAGCTTTGTCTTTATACATACTTATATCGTGGAGCACAGAGTAAATGACATTGGCAACCTCTGTATACAAATTATAACCAGCAGATTTTCTACAGCATGCATAAGAGTAAGCAAGAGCAGAGAACCAAGCATTTATACAGTCTCTTACAGCTAAGAAGTGTCTATGAGTAATTATATAAGCAAACTGGTCAGACGGCCATATAACATGAAGGTTTCCGTAGCACTTAGCTTTACATCCGAAGAAATTGTATGATTTTACATGTTGCTCACTAAATGTTATTTTCTCCGTTATTCGTCCCAATGTCACTTTCATGACATAGACCTGTCTTAACAGCTCAGGGCCACTTGATGGAAGACTAGGTACAGATACTCCACAGAAATCTGTACAACCCAAGTTTGTAGCATCATTGGCAACTTTTATATGTTTGGACAGTTCTCGTGCTAATCGCATGTCCTCGGGCTTCTTACTCACATGCAATAATGCCCAGTGGATAAATTGATCAGAGGGAAGATAGCAGACTCCTTTTGTGTCCCTCTTTAAAAGAATGTGTTCTTTCTTCAAACCAGATGTATTTTGCCAGTTTTCAAACATATAAGTTATCTCTCCATTATGAAGAGCGGATTGCAGATGTCTATCACGCCTGAAGACTGGTTTCCTCTTCGTTGATGAGTAGGTTGGTGTCGGATCTTCTTCTTCCATGGCTGTTGGATTTCAGAATGGTTCGTATAAACATAACCTAAGTCAACACGAGGTGCTTCGAGACGTGACACAATTTTCCTCATCAGCAAAATGTCTTCTACAAATAATATGGCACTGATTGAAAAGATGACCGTAAGGGAAAACTATCCAACGTAGAGATTTGCCGTCCAAACATTTCTTGAACACGAGGATTTATGGCATTGTGTCACAGAAGATGGCGTCGATGTCAAACAAGATTTGAAAGCTAAGTCCAAAATTGTTTTATTGATACATCCCATCAACTATGTACACATCCAAGAGGCCAAAACTGCCAAAGAAGTGTGGACTAACCTATCTAAAGCTTTCGATGACAAAGGTCTGACACGTAGAGTTGGCTTATTAAGAGATCTGATTACCACAACGCTAGAAACATGTCAAGGCATCGAAGACTATGTTAGCAAAATAATGTCGACCGCACACAAACTACGAAACATTGCGTTTAATGTGAATGATGAATGGTTGGGAACCTTGCTACTGGCTGGTTTATCCGAGGTCTATCAGCCGATGATTATGGCTCTTGAAAGCTCTGGTGTGGCAATAACATCGGATTCTGTAAAAACTAAACTGCTTCAAGATGTGAGAAGCACTGAAACAAATGCTTTATATGTTAATAAAAACAAGGGAAATCGGTCGCAGTCTGCCAAACAAGCTTCAGAGAAAACCAGTACCGGCAAAGGTCCTAGATGTTTCGTGTGCAATAAATATGGGCACATAAGTAAAAATTGTCGAAATAAGAAGTCGAAGGAAAAGTCCGAACAAAGTACCAACTATGTTGCTGTATTTTCTGCAACTACATGCAATGAGAAAGGTTGGTACATAGACTCTGGAGCGTCAATGCATATGACCATGAACAGTGACTGGCTATATGTTAAAATCCCACCTCCGATTAGTACTATAAAGGTGGCGAATGATGAGAAACTTTTGGTAGAAGCTTGCGGAAAGATAAATTTAAATGTTGCTGATAGCAATGGGAAGATAAATACAATCCAAGTGCAGAATGTTCTTTATGTTCCTGGTCTGGCCACTGATCTTCTCTCGGTTACTCAGATGATAAAAAATGGATGTCATATACAGTTTAATGAGAAAGGTTGCAAGATATTAAACAGAAATAAAGAACAAGTGTCTACTGCAAAGATGATAAATAATATGTACCGGCTTAATACTCACAGTACTCCAGCATACACATCTGCATCAAAAGACAATGACTGTTACCTGTGGCATCAAAGAATGGCTCATTTAAATTTTGAAGATTTGAGTAAACTAACAGAATCTGCAGGAATTAAGTTAGAAAATAAAGAAAAGGTCTTATGTATTTCATGTCAAGCCGGGAAACAATCAAGAAAACTTTTTCCTTCACAAGGATCTCGAGCACAAGCAAAGCTAGAGGTCATTCACTCTGATATTTGTGGGCCTATGGAGGTACCATCTCTTGGAGGAGCTCGCCATTATGTCACCTTCATTGATGATTTTACCAGGAAGGTATTTGTATACATATTAAATAAGAAATCTGATGTGTTTGAAAAATTTAAAGAATTTAAAGCATTGGTGGAGAACCAACTGGATTTAAAAATAAAGACACTCCGTACAGATAATGGCGTATTCATACTTGAGCAATGAATTTCGCAATTTTCTCAAGAAGTCTGGAATTTCACATCAAACTACTACTCCCTACACTCCACAACAAAACGGTCTAGCGGAGCGTATGAATAGAGAACTCTTTTAGAACGAGCAAGATGCATGCTACTGAATGCTCAATTACAAAAACAGTATTGGGCAGAAGCAATTTCGACTGCTGCCTATATCACAAATAGATGTCCAACACGAGTGATAGAATTTTCAACACCTGAAGAGAAGTGGAGTGGTAGAAGGCCGGACATCACTAATTTGAAAGTCGTCGGTTGTGAAGCCATGGTGCATGTGCCAAAAGAAAAATCGAAAAAGTGGGACTCAAAGGCAAACAAGATGATTTTTATTGGCTATAATGAACAGACAAAGGGATATAGGTTTTTAGATCCAAAGACAAAGAAAGTGTTAATTAGCAGAGATGTCATCTTCATTGAAAATTCAGTTAAAAGGAACTATGCATTACTGCCATTATCAGAGTCAGTCTCAGAACCCAAGACCAATGATGATAGTTCTACTAATAATGAGACTAAATTATAAAATACATCTGAAGATAGTGAATTGCAGTCTGAAACCAGTGATGAATCTTTTAAGTCAGATGAAGGATCAATTTATGAACCAGACCAAACAATTGATCCAACAGAACTTACACAAAATGTAACAACAAGATCTAAACAAAGAACGTGTAACATGGATGCTAAAACATATTCATGTGTTAATGAAGTTTCAGAACAGGATGATGTTCCACAAAGTTACACAGCAGCAATGTCCTCACACAATGTGAATGCTAAACATTGGAAACAGTCAATTCAAGATGAGTTAAAAGCACATGAAGAAAATAATACTTGGAACCTTATTGAAAAACCGGAAGGAGTGCGATTATTTGATTGTAAATGGGTATTTAGAATAAAAGACAATCCATCTGGTCCAATCTTTAAATCAAGACTGTGTGCTAAAGGATGTGGACAAAAACAAGGAGATCTTATATGGAGATGTAAAGGAAGTTATTTACATGAAGCCACCAGAAGGTTTGGAGTTGCAATCAAATTTGGTATGTAAACTTAATCGTTCACTCTATGGTTTGAAGCAAGCACCAAGGTGCTGGAACCAGAAATTTAATCATTCTCTATAGAAATTTGGGTTTACTAATAGTCATAGCGATAAATGTGTCTATATTGGAAATGTAAACAAAAATAAAATTTACTTGTTGTTGTATGTTGACGATGGGCTTCTTATATCTAATTCAGAAGAATCACTAAACAAAGTGTTGAGTGACTTAAAGGATAACTTTGAAATCAAACAGTGTGATCCAAAGAGCTTTGTGGGATTACAAATAAAAAGATTTGAAAAGTGTATGTTTATTCACGAATCAAAATATATTGAACGGTTATTATGTAGATTTAATATGCAAAATGCAAACTGTAACAATGTTCCAGTTGATCCTCACACTACTCCGGAGAAAGCAACTGAAGCCCCAGACAAAACTATTCCCTACAGAGAGGCTGTGGGCTCACTCATGCACCTGGCTGTGGTAAGCCGTCCAGATATCATGTATGGAGTCAGTCTGGTGCGTAGATATTTGAACTGTTACGATCAGACCCATTGGAATGTTATCAAGAAAATATTAAGATATCTGAAAGGAACAAAGGACTATGGTTTATGCTACACACCTTCAAAGTCTAACCTAGAAGGTTATAGTGACGCAGACCATGCCAAACACGAGCACACGCAGGTCTTTAACTGGCTATGTATTTATGAAAAATGGAGCTGCAGTAACATGGGCAACACAACGCCAACAAAGTGTAGCCTTGTCTACAACGGAAGCAGAGTTCATGGCTGCTTGTTCTGCAACTAAAGAAGCTATATGGTTAAAGGGATTGTTAATGGACATAAACGAATTTAATCAGAACTCTATCTGTCTAAATATTGACAATCAAAGTGCAATTTGTTTAATTAAGAATGTAGATTATCACAAACGATGTAAGCATATAGATATAAGGTATAATTTTATTGAAGAAAAATATTCAGAGAAACAAATAGATCTCAAATATGTGAATACCAAAGAGCAATATGCAGACATATTTACTAAGGCTTTACCTAAGGAACAATTGCAATATCTTAGAAATAAAATTGGTGTTAAGCAAGCATCTCTCAAGTAGATTTTTTTTGTTATTAATTGCTATTCTTAGCTAAAGGTTGTCTGTTAGTCTCTATATTTTTCTCATATAAGATGTATGTAAAGTTAAAATTTGGTGAGAGTGTTGTAATAATAAAATTCTACTTTACCGGTCATCTATGTATATTATCAGGTTTAGTGACAACACTAACTTGAAAGTACTTCTCTAGTAAGTCTATGGTTTTGGTTTTTACTCTCTGGAATATCTTAAATAAAACTACGCTGTGTTAAATTTACTTTTGCCGTTTTTAATTAATCTCAACAAGAATTAGATATAAAAAAGGGCTTTGTGGAAGTCATGCACATTTTTAAATTATTAAATGCATCAGTAGCATTTGAAATATCATGTCCATAACAAACACGACGATCTAAAGCTCTTTTTGTGGCACTACCTATGCCATCTGCCACACCTTTCCCATGGCCACTTTCTGAAAATGATCACGTTGTCATGGGTAGTTTGAGTTTTTCGGTAAACAAGTTAAGTAGGAAAAAAATCTTTTTTTGTCTGTATTGGCTGCTTGGGCCATCCGAGAAGAAGTGAATTACGGATAAATTGCCGCACATTTGCTTCGCTAACTTGATAATTGGAATAAGGTGTGCCCAAATGGCATGAGGTTCATGACAGTTGCTATCTGAGAAACTTACAAATGATTGACACTGTGTTTGTAAGAAAGTCATGCCGGTATGCAGAGTAATCGAATTTTCAGACCCGCCGAAATGAAGCGACTGAATCTCTTGTGCCAACTTAGTAGTTTTCCGAAAAGTCAACCAATATTGCACATTCATTGGGCTTTAAATTTTCAATACACTTACTGTATTGACGTTGCTGCTCCTGAATATTGTAGAAGTGTTTTTTTTATATAAAGGCAATTGTTTATGAAACTCATCTATTAGTTCTTAAATTGTGCCAACTTTTCTTTCTTTTTTTGTTATATTGGCTATCATATCCTTGTCATTTTTCTTGTACGACTTTTTTGAGCGTTCCCACTGGCACCATTCAACAACAGTATTTTTATCAGCTGTAAAATTTATGGATTTATACCGGCATGAATCGCACGCGTTGTACATACAACTTTTTGAATTTATGTCACATGACACTAGTTTTAAAAGATCTTTTCCAGATTGGTTTTGCAGTTCGGAAATAGTGTGCTTTTTAATAGCTGATACCACAAAATCAAAATTTACTATGTTTAACACAGAGGCATGTATCACGAAAGGCATTGGTCGGCGACAGGATATAAAAAGGTTCATATTTGCAAAATGTAGAAGAACTGTATATTCCTCCTTCTTCTGTATACGAGGGTTGATCAATAAGTAATGATAATCGAGTATTTCTAGAACGCACAAAAACCCAAATTATTTTTTTTCTGCTTGCTTATATATCCACTACTTCAGCTTCAAAAAAATGTACAAATAGGACACCATTACCGGGAGATACATTCATTTGAATACGAACTGTCGAAGAGAAAACATCAAAATGGAGAAAAATGAAATAAGAGCTGTCATCAAGTACCTCTGCCTGAAAAAAATGTCTACGAAAGACATGCACAGCGACTTAGAGGAAACATTGGGGGAGTCTGCTCCTCCATATTCCACAGTCGCACGCTGGGCAAAGGAATTTAAGCTGGGCAGAACCTCCACTGAAGATGAACATCGCGAGGGACGCCCTTCCACGTCCCTTACTGGAGAAAACGTCAAAAAAGTGGAAGATATCGTGTTGGCCGATCGAAGGGTGACCGTAAGGCATGTAGCTGAGGTCACAGGGATCTCCTATGGCAGCGTTCAAAAAATCATTGTCAACAAAATGCATATGAAAAAGGTCTCTGCGCGTTGGGTACCGAGAATGTTAACCGACGAGCAAAAAAAGAAACGAGTCGACATTTCGAGGGTGAATCTTCAAAAGTTCCAGGCCGATAAAGAATTTTTTTTGTCGCGTTTTGTGACCATGGACGAGACCTGGATCCACCACTTTGATCCCGAAACCAAACAACAATCAATGACTTGGAAACGAGCTTCCTCACCAACGCCGAAGAAATTCAAAGTGTCAAGTTCAGCGGGAAAGGTTATGGCGTCTGTTTTCTGGGATGCAGAATGAATTATTATGGTGGAATATTTGGAAAAGGGGGCCACTATAACAGGCTCTTACTACGCAGGCCAAATAAGAAGATTGCGAGAAGCTATTAAGTCAAAAAGACGCGGTAAACTGCGCGCTGGAGTGCTGTTTCACCAAGACAACGCCCCGGCTCACAAAGCCGCAGTTGCGATGGCTGCCATTGAAGAAACGGGGTTCGAACTGCTCGAACACCCTCCCTATTCGCCAGATCTAGCTCCCAGTGACTTCTACCTCTTTCCTCGGCTCAAAGAACACCTCCGGGGAAACAAATTTGAGGACAATAGTGAAGTGATGGCCGCAGTAGAGGCATTTTGGGAGGGTCAAGACAAAGAATTTTTTTCTAAGGGAATCATGGGCTTAGAAAAAAGATACACTAAATGTATTAACTTGCAAGGAGACTATGTTGAAAAATAAAATACTTTTTTTAATCTAATAGTTCTGTTTCATATTGATTATCATTACTTATTGATCACCCCTCGTATATTTGGTAAAGGTTGTATAAAGTATCAGTAAGATAATTTATTTGCATCTTTTACTTCGGTTTTGTTCTAGTCTCGCGCTTTCCGGACGTCACTCTGCATATTTCGTCTCGACTGCAAAATACCTCTAACATTTCTTTTATGTTTTTGCTTAGGAATCTCTTTGTTTGGCTCAATCGTATTCTGGAAAATTTTAGACCTAAACTTTCTGATATAATTTTTTTCACGCCTTTTTTTGATAATGCAATATTGTTGGATTTGCTAATAGAACGCAATACTTTTTTTTTGTTCATTCGTTTTACAGTCTTTATATTTTTATGTTAAAGCTATTTCCAGAACTTCGTGCCGTGCTTTTAGTTAAAAGCACGGCACAAGTCAATTGTCAATGTAAATTTTCACTTGTCAATTTCAAGATCTTTTTCTGTATTTTGTTCTTTTTTGTTCGACTTAAAGTTTTACGTAGACGCTGATTGATTTTTCTTCCTTTGCTTAATTGCTGAATTATAGTTTCTTATTAAGTTTACATATTTCTTTTTGTAGAAGTCGACTTATCTAGAATCTGCTTTTGGAGGTGTTGCAGCAATTTCTTCTTGTTCACGTTGTTTCTTGGCTTCTCTTTGCCTCTTTTTCTTTTTTTTCGGTTTCGCTTAATTCTCCTATTTTCTTTTGTCCTTTCTTCACTCTTGCAATTTGTTTTTTCTTAGCTCTTCATATTTTTATGCATTTAATTTTAATTTATCCCTATAGCATTTAGCTCGCTCAGCCGCTGTTAGAACCATCACTGGAAATAAAAAAAATACATCACTGGAAATAAAATAAAATACAGTAATAATAAGTAATCTGAAACATGAAGCTCCATGGTATAATAAACCACAAGGCGGTAAGCAGAATGACACACACAAATTGTATACTTTAGATTGGAAGAATCTCAACAGAATATTTTTCCCGCCTTACAGCCGAATGTACATATAGCATTATAGAAGTTACATAAAATAACACCAAAGCATTAATTCATCTTAAAAGGTTAAGATTAACTGCATTAAAATTTACATGCGTTTTTTTTTCTAGCAAAATTTTGAAATTACAAGTTTTTCAACATACGGCTGAATTGAACCATATGTAGAATAAAATAGTAACGCCATTTATTAACCTACGTAATAACGAGCTGAAACTCGGTGCATTTAAATTTATTTTAAATGAACCAGTATTGGAGAACCAACATTAAACCCTGAACATCATTTATCATGAAAGTGCTCATTAAGACAAATCTAAAGAGCCCATACACGATGGGTTTACGTAAACCAGTAACGGAGAACACCTGGTAACCATTTGCAGCCAACATCAGTTCAGGCATATTAGTAACTAATTAGATTTATATACGTATGCCAAACTTCAAATAGTTAAGATCAATTTTTTTTAACCTTAATTTGAAATTGACATAAATCGCATTTTCTTAAAAATCACCCCACCCGTAGCCTTATTTTTTTAGCCCGAAATTATTTATTCTGAAAGTTTCATCAAAATCGTTTGAGACGTTTTCGATATTTATATAATACCACGTATAAGAATTGCTCGTTTAATACAATAGGATAATATTTATATTTTGTTCCTTAAAAAAAGAAAAAGAATACAATTAAGTAGAGGAGAAGGTGGTAATGTGGCCCCTGCAGGTATATTGGCCCCCTTACATATTTATGATTTAGAAACGCGCCATCTAGTATAATGCACGTGCAATGCGGAGCTCTTGTGACAGCTACCGAATAGTAACCGACAAATCTGTGAGATGGCGTAACGTTCTTTTGTTATTTAACGTCATTTGAAACACGCAACGGAAAACATTTTAAACCGCTCTGCATTTTATTCATTTTTTCCGGAAAAACTAAGCTTTACGTTGAGTGATTTGGACATTGTGTTCGGGTGGGCCCCGATCTGTCGGACGCCCAATTCGGTTTTCGGGCGGGGCGTTCGACAGTCGACGCCGTGTTGCGCCTGAGGGCCGTGACCGAAGAGGCCGTGAGCTGTGGCGGCGTGCTGTTGGCGGTGTCACTGGACATCGCCAACGCATTCAATAGTCTGCCATTCAGCTGCATCAGGGAAGCACTCTACTATCATGGGGTGCCAAAGTACCTGAGGCGGCTAGTGGCAGACTATTTAGAGGAGCGTACCGTTGTGTACGAGGACCGAGAAGGTAATCTGAGGTGTCGGCCCATGTCGTGCGGTGTTCCACAGGGGTCTGTTCTTGGACCCCTCTTGTGGAACATAGGGTACGACTGGGCCCTTCGCGCCGATTTCCCCCCCGGGCTGGGTGTAATCTGTTACGCAGACGATACCCTGGTGACAGCCCGGGGGGCAAACTTCCAAGAGGCGGCGCGCCTGGCCACAGGGGGAGTCTCCCTGGTGGTCGGGCGCATTGAGGCGCTGGGCTTACGGGTGGCCCTAGATAAGACGGAGGCCCTGTTATTTCATGGGCCCCGTCGTGGTCCACCCCCTGGCGCCTCAATCGTGGTCAACTCGGTCCTCGTACCGGTTCGGGCCCAGATGAAATATCTGGGCCTGATCCTCGACGGGAGGTGGCTCTTCGACGAGCACTTCCGACAGCTTGCTCCAAAGCTGGTCGGCGCTGCGTCTGCCCTAGGGCGACTTTTGCCCAATATGGGTGGACCCAGCGTCGCGACAAGACGGCTGTACACGGGGGTTGTCCGGTCAATGGCACTGTACGGTGCACCGGTGTGGGCGGCGGCTCTGACCGCCCAGAATAGGGTACGCCTCTGGCGCCCTCAGAGGGTAATGGCGGTCAGAGCCATACGCGGTTACCGCACCGTTTCGACGGAGGTGGCATGCGCGTTGGCCGGAACTCCCCCGTGGGATTTGGAGGCGGAAGTGCTCGCCGAAGTTTATCGGCGAGTGGCTGACTCCCGGGCGGAGAGCGGATTTCGCCCTCCGCCCGAGGATGTGCGCGAGTGGCGCGAAGCCGCTCGCCGAGCCACGATGGCTCGTTGGTCGTTCCGGCTGGAGATTCCACGAGCTGGCTTCGCCGCCGTGGAGGCTCTCCAGCCGGTCATCGCCGAGTGGGCAGGGCGGCAGCACGGGACCCTTTCCTTCCGGCTGACGCAGGTGCTTTCCGGGCACGGTTGCTTCGGAAAGTACCTGAACTCGGTCGCTAGGAGGAAACTGAGTCCCGCCTGCCACCACTGCGACTGCAGTGAGGACTCGGCCCAGCACACGCTGGCGGTCTGCCCCGCATGGGCGGCGCAGCGCCGGGCCCTCACGGCAGTCATCGGAGTGGATCTCTCGCTACCGGCCGTAGTACGCTCCATGGCCGGTAGCGACAGTTGTTTTACCGCGGTCGCAACCTTCTGCGAGGTAGTAATCTCGCGGAAGGAGGCGGCGGAGAGGGCCCGGGAGGACGACCTCCACTCGGACCCGATCCGCCGCCGGCGAACCGGGCGGCGGAGGCCCGCCTATCACAGCCTCATGCCGCCCTGAGTGTGGCCGCGGGTGGACGGGGTGGGTTTCCCCTCCACCCGCATTAGTTTGGCCAGCCGCGAGGGGGCGGCGTCCGCGTGTGCCGGACGTCGCCTAAAGAGAGGAAAAAAATATTGAGACGGAGCCCGCACCAGGAGCGGGCTGGCGCTAGGAGGGGTCCGGATGTCTTAACAACAGCTGTTCCCGGATCCCTCCTGTTACAGGCGCAGAGTGGCACACCGTGTGGTTTTAGTCGGTCCGAGTCCGACACACCACCCCGCCGCAAACCCCGGAGGGGTGACGGTCCGAGGGGATTTCCACACGTTAAAAAAAAAAAAAAAAAAATTTGGACATTGTGTTCGAGAAACGTTTTCCTACCGGATTTTGAAGGTAATTATGCAAAAACATTTGATAATTATATGGATTTTGGTTTGATTTATATATTCATTAATACTTGTAATTTGGCCCCCTCGCATTGTTCCTATTATGGTCCCGGGGGGCCATATAACATGTATGAGCGATATATCATTTCTGTATTCTTTTTAATTTAGTTTTCAGATGCCTCGACTCAGTCTACTACTCCCATCTTCGAAGAAAAGGAAAACATGGGATCCTGATGAAATGAAAATGGCAGTTGAAGCTGTAAGGACAAAGGTCATGGGCTACAAAAAGGCTGTAAAAACTTTTTCTGTGCCAAGGTCCACGCTGAAACGATTAGTGAAGGACTTTGAAGAATCTTTAGATTTACTTTACATAAACCGCTTGGTAGAAAGCCCGTACTTCCACCTGTCCTGGAAAAAAAGTTAGTAGAATATATTTTGTTTATGGAAGCTAGATACTTTGGACTTACTAGGATGGATGTTAGAAAAATGGCCTATCAGCTAGCTCTCAAAAACCACATCAAAAATCAATTTAGAAATGAAGTAGCAGGACGTGCTTGGTTGGATAATTTTTTGAAGCGACACAAAAACAATTTATCCCTACGCAGACCAATGGGAACATCGTATGCTCGTACTCAAGGCTTTAACAGTGAAGCAGTTAAAGAATTTTTTGACATTTTGGAAGCTGAAATGAGAAACAACAATATTCCTCCAGACAGGATTTTCAATGTCGATGAGACGGGGCTCACAGTTGTGCAGTCAAAAGTACCACAGGTGGTGGGAAAAAAAGGCAAGAGGCAGATAGGAGCTTTGACTGCTGCCGAAAGAGGTTCACTGTGTACTGTGGTTTGTTGCATGAGTGCATCGGGTATTTTTGTACCACCTATGATGATTTTCCCAAGAAAAAACTTTACAGATCTTTTGATGAAAGGTGCGCCACCTGGAACGATTGGTAAAGTTCATCCATCAGGTTGGATTCAATCTAATTTGTTTACTGAGTGGTTCAGGCATTTTATTGAAAAAACGAACCCCAGCGAGGCCTCTCCCGTGTTGCTCATCTTTGACGGACATTACAGTCACACTCGTAATTTAGAAATAATAGAGCTGGCCCGCGAAAATCATGTCACCATTATCAGTCTCCCACGGGCGAAATTGCAGTAAATGGTTTTTGTGCTACCGGCATTTACCCATTCAATCCACAAGTTTTTACTGAGGTTGATTTTATAGCGGAAGCATCAAACAGTGATCAGTCATGTCGCAGTGTAGACAATCAACGTGGAAGTGTTGTTGCTGACCAAGATGCCCCAGGAACGAGTACAGCGGTACAAGAGGCGCCAACTGGTTTGATTCTACCAGAAGAAATTCAGCCCATCCCTGGGGCCAAAACTAGGACTTCTAATGGTGGAAGAAAAGCTACAACAGCAAAAGTGATCACATCATCACCTTATAAAAACCAATTCACCGAATCTTTGCGCTTAGCTGAGACTCGTGGACGAGGCAGTAGAGGTAGACGTGGACGAGGCCGTGGACGCGGACGAGGCGGTGGACGCGGCCTTGGACGTGGTCAAGGTGGAATGGGCAGCGGCAGCAGTGCTTATCGACGACGCCAGAGAGTCAGTACATCCAGCGGTAGCTCTGAAAGTGACGCAGTCGTAGAAACTGTCTCTGAATATGACCACCATGTCAATTCAGATAGGATCCCTGAAAGCTTGGATACGAGCTGCATATTTTGTGAAGCCAGTCATTTTAGCGACAGACGTGGTGAGGAGTGGATTCAGTGCGAATCTTGCACTTTATGGGCTCATACAGCCTGTGCAGGCCCTGAAGGCGAATATTATATTTGTGATTATTGTCGTTAAATTTCATTAAAGTCCAATACATTTAATTTGACCCCCAGGGTGCCATATAACCCTCACTTAATGTCATGTTGTGAAAATTTTAGTTTTCAGAATAAATTAAGTTTTTGATTATTCTGTGGTTATTTTCTTTATTCTATAGTTAGGCATGCATAAGCCAATGAGTAAGGAACACTATGACGTACTTGCTTTATTTGTAAGTGTAGTATTTTTTACATGAGGCCTGAAAAACAAAGTAGGGGGCCTCATTACCACCTTCTCCTCTACGTGTACTTATGTGTGTAGACATCAGATTTGTCAAAACATTTTATTATGTATCAAAGTTGGGTAAATTACATTATGAACTAAGCCTTACGTGTCCATTTCGTCACGAAAATAGTTCCACTAATATGTCACGTGACTAAATGGACGTGACGAATCCTGTTTTGTCCTACAAATTTGCTTAACAACAACATTATTTGCACTTCAAAAGAACATCACATTGCTTTATTGCATATTCAAATATAGTAAGCTTTAATTAATAATACAATATTTATAAAGTAACTTACCAACTTGACGTAAAATCTGCAACTAAACTGGATATCTTATTTAGCTTCCTGATGAAACGTGTTCATCGTCACAGATTCTACACAACTGACAGTAGACTTATTAAATAAAATGGTTGTTTTCGACTGGTAATGTTGCCTGGATTTAAAAATAAAGATGTTTGGGTAGTTTCAAACTTTGGAAGCAGGGTAAGAGCCATGACTAAAGTGGAATGTCCATGTGTACCTAAATGTTGGTTGACGATACTCCACAAGAATTTGATTCTAAATTAATATAATTAAATATATATATTTAGAGTTTAAATTAAAATAGACATTACAAGCTTTAAAAATACACCAAAAGAAAGAGCTGAAATTGAAATCTACAGGGAAAATTTATTTTCTTAATTTTTACATATTACGTGTGACGTTCTAAAACTATCATTTTTTTGCAAACTTTTTTTTTAAATTAAATTAATCGTATTGTAATTGCTAATTAATATATTTGTTTTTAAAGTTAATCAATCCATCTTTTAGCTAAAATAAAGTCTATAAAATATTGGATTAGTCATTAGTGCAAATTTGTACGGAATGACTCTTAGATACAACACTAAATTCTATAGAAATTGGGTTGAACTAAAGGAACATTTTAAAGAACAAATACTACTTACGGACCTACATTCTACCGACTTCAATACCCTAAACCCAAAGAACATAGACATGTACACTAAGAAACTTACAAAATTCATACAGAACACCTGCAACCTATATCTGCCACGCACAGGTCGAGACTCGCCACGGTCACCCTGGTGTACCCACCAACTAGACATCATGAAACAACAGGTGATAGCAAACAACCACAAATTACAACAGCTCAAACATAAGAATCAACCACTCACCGATGCTCTCACTGAAAGGGACACCCTCAAAGTGGCATACGCTGAAGCAATTAAAATTGCTTCCACTGAAGACTTTCGGGAATTCTGCAATAGACAGGGTACTCCTCAGAGACCACCGTCAACCATTGAACTGTCACCCGGCATACATACCACATCCAGTCACCAAACTGCAACAGCTTTCCTCAATAAGTTTTACCCTGATCACACCTGACACTCCCACACAGAACTCCACTCGTATTCAAACGCACAATCCATCCGACATTGAAGACGATGCTCCATTCACACAACATGAAATAACTACTATCCTGAAAAACATGAATCCCTCCAAATACCCCGGTGCAGACCACCTCTGAGATTTGTTATCAGTTTGCCCTATGTTTCCCTGAAATCATCACTGGGCTCATGAACTGCTGCCGATCAATCTCTGTTTTCTCCAAAACATGGAAACAAATTGAATTAAAATAATGAAACCCTTGAAAAATAATTCACTTAACGCCTCACACATCACCTAAATATTATACATACTAAACGAAAGTATAGTTCATTTGATTAAACACTGGTGGCGCTTGTGTGCACTTGTTTCTATATTAAAAAATTGTCATGTCATTGTAAAGAACTTTACCGGATAATAAACGTAGTTAAATTTTCAATCTCAAGTTTTTGCTTTTTCTATAGGTTATGGGCCGTCCCGTAAGCCTAAATAGATTCGAAGTTTAATGTTTATTATCATACAGTATAGTACAATCGTTGATGGGCATTTCTCAAAAAGTTTGTCCGTGACGAAATAGGAACTCCCATTTTTTTCATACTTTTTATTTGAATTAATTATAGCTAATGTCATGGGAAATATATACTTGAATTTATTAGAAAGATATTATTTTAAGTTAAATATCATCGATTGATGAAAATTTAAAGTTTTTTATGTACGTACTGTTACGCGGATAATCGCGCTTTAGTTTTTAAAAAAGAAACTTTAATTTATTTGACAAAAATACTTTATTTAGAGTACAGAAGGTCAACACTTCGTTATTTTAAAACTCTAGAGGCAAACGCACTGATTGAAAGATGGACACGGACTGACTGATCAGTGGACGAGCAGAGGGCTTGGAGAGGAGAGCTGCTGACTAAGCAAAGTAGCAGCCAGGGCAGCACTTGGGGTGAATATCTCAGTTATAACACCTCCCCCTTTTAGAGGAGACTTGGGGTTGATTTCAAGTCTCTGTTAAATTCTAGTTCTTAGTGGGGCAATAGGGTTGGTCATCTCTAATTTAGGATTTTCAGGGTCTTGTCTGGCTGTGGTATCTGATGGTTTAGGAGTAGGTTGAAATGAGGGTCTTAAACTAAATTTAAATTGGAAAGAGCGGTTGCTGCCCGATTTACAAAATATTTGCTTAATAATAAAATAACCTAAGGAGAATAACAATTACGAAAACTATAATTATAAGAATAGAGTAATGTGTCCCATATTTCATGATGTGTGGTTTTAGCGGGTGCTCAATGGGTTTTAAATTTTCTAGAAGAGACTTTATTCTGTTTTTATTTTCTGAATGAAAATCGTCTAGATCAATATCATTTAGATGAATAGGAGACACATTATTATCAATTACATCATTTAGCTTATCTAAGTTACAACAAGCGTCACTGATTAAATTAAAACCTGGTACATGGTTAATAGGTGAAGTGATATTTAGCATTATCTTTAGGAATTAATGTGGTACTTTTACAATATCCGGTACAATCTAAAGGAATGTTAACTATACCTGTGCCTAAAATATTTGCTTCGTATAATTTAGAATTAAGACAATCTATTGAGATTTTGTTAGGTTCTGATTGTATGTAGATCCACTTATTATTTGTCAATGGTTTCCAAATGTCCAATTTACCGAGTATAACTTTAGTTTCGCACTGTAACGGTTTTTCACTTATCACTTTTGCCAGAAGTTCACTTTGACAGGTCGTTTTCGCATCTGTTGAATACAGGTTTTCGATGTCACAAATAAAGTCTTCTGGGCTTACGGATTTTCATATCGTCGAAAGTTCAATAATGAGATTTGTCTTTGGTCATTGCGATATATTTATGGTTAGGTACGAGGGAGCGTTTTTATGTTCGCGGAATGGGGGATAAGGGCTGGAAATAAAAAAACCAAATTATTTTTCCTTTTCAATATATTTACCTGCAAGACGGATACATTTTTCAGATCTTTCAATTAATTTGTTTATACCCTCATAAAAAATGTTTTCTCTTTGTCTTCAAAATACGCCGAAACTGCCTCCTTGACTTCATTATCGTTGGTCATTTTTTTACCCCGCAGCTCTTTTTTCATTTTTGGAAACAGGTTATAATCGCTGGGGACCAGGTCTGGGCTGTAGAGTGGGTGATTCAAAATATCGACGCCCACCTTATGCAGGGCAGCCAACGCAACGCGCCTCTTGTGGACGGGCGCGTTGTCGTGCAAAAGCAACACACCTTTTGTCAATTTTCCCCGTCTTTTCTCTTTAATGACTTCTTTGAGTCGCTCTAATATTGAAGCGTAGTATTCTCCGGTTGTAGAAACACTTTTATCTTTATAATCGATCAATAATATTCCTTCTGAGTCCCAAAAGACCGTTGCCATGAGTTTCCTAGCTGACTGTGACACCTTAAACTTCTTGGGAGGTGCTGTGCCCTTTTTATGCCACTGCATGGAGTCTTGTTTCGACTCAGGTTCATAATATTGAACCCAAGTTTCGCAGTTTCACCCAGTAACAATTCTACTCAATACAGCATCCTTGTCTTTATTACAAAGGTCTAAAAATGCACGGGAACACTCTACGCGCTGTTGTTTTTGCGTCGGCGTGAGCATTCTCGGCACCCATCTTGCACTGACCTTTGTCATGCCAAA